AAGAATTCTCTTTTACTCGCATGGATACTGTTACATGTTCTATTACTCTGGGATTTGTCTAAACCTAATCAGTCGGCTAATGTATTGTGGTAATTTCAGTAAGTGTATCTGTATGCTAGGTTCTATAGATTTAGATCATTTGTTTTTTACATATGGGCGTGTTTATATGTATAAATTTATGTATATTTAATTTCAGTGTCATACTTGGTACTCTTAGAGATTTTGAAGAAACATCATGTTTACGTCAAATCGATTTGAGTGAATCCACTCGTAAGTGTAAAATTAGTATAAAAATTTATTTGTTTATTAGTATAATGCATTACCATCACCAAAGTGATTTATTCACAAAGTTAACTGTATGTTGTGTTATTTCTTTTTCATGAAGATATCTATTACTAGTCCAAAAACTCGATTTCCTAACTATACTTTCATAGTAGGGATTTATAATTTCTTGTCGTTGATATTCTGTACTGCAATGGATTATCCTCTGTTGTCATTGTAAAGGTTGCTACTAAAACGCTTATTACTGATTTCCTAACCACCTCCTTTAACCCCCAAACTACTTCTACTCGTCAATTAAAAGGATCAAGACTAGGCGCACAGTGGAACTAAGAGCTGTACTTCAAGGTTAGTTGATGTATAGAAAGTTGGGTATATCTATTGGTTCATGTGTAACAATATAGGTGAATATATCCAGTTAGAAGCTCGTGCTTCAATGTGATCATCCGCATGACGAAATAAGCATCTTTGATTTCATTACTAGCCATATACTAACTATACCACAAGTTATACTTTATTAGGTTCATGAATTTCTAACATAAATGTCTGGCATTTATAGCCAATAATACTACTAACGGTCATTAAAATAATTGCAGCTCTCATAATCTAATCTATAAATCTGCTCTTATAGTTACTATACTGTTGTATATTACTAATGTTGTTTCTTGTTTATCTGTGTAACGTCATTTTCTCTTTACTAATGTAATAAGTACTTTAGTATAGAAATTTAGTAATACTTTTAGTATTTGTTATATCCTTAAAAACTATGCCTTTGTTTTGTCTTCGCGTGATCTGGTTGTTGATTCGATGAGCAAATTACTACTAACAAATTACTACTAGCAAATTACTACTTATTGATTACTTCGTTTGTAGGACTGACCAATAACCTGATGATGATATTTGACAGACGTCTGTCTGTCAGAACTTTGTACGTACGTACATCGATTTAAGTTGCCATACCACGTCAGCACAGAGACGTAACTATCAGTTCAAATCCCATTGTGCTAGTGATAGTAGAAGTATTAGCGATAATGGAGAATATTAGGGTTCGAAGATATGAATCAAGAAGTATAATTCTGTGAGATAAGTTTAGAAATAGAAAGATATAGCTGACGAGGAATTCCGAAGGTTAGAATTAGAGAGAACACAAAGAGTGGATGAACTTGCGCCATCGCAAACGATATTGAACCATGTCATTCAAGGTCTCTAACCACTGGTGAATTACGTCTCGCGAATCCCAACCAGGTAGCCATCATCTGCCAACATGACTCAGTCTATTTGAATCGTGAACCTACATCCTAGACTATTACATAGATGTCTTTTAAGTATATATAGCACCTTAGATTTTAATCGATCTATGTGTGGTATGGTGTATTTTATTCAAATTGCGATTATTGTTTTTTTTTGTTTACCATACTCGATAAGCAAACGCATGTATATAACCAGACAAGTTTGATACTTTTAATTGCTTTTGATCCATGTTACAAATTTCGTTTACAATAATCATTGTAAGCAGTTTAATTGTGTATAGACCTTTATGGTTTTCTGATTTTTGTGTTGTTGTTGTTCTTTTTTTCTCTTCAAAAATGCCTTATTAGAGGCTGTACTTCAACGCGCCAAATCATTATTTAAATGTACTTCATCACAACGTCGAATGACTTTGAATGTACGTACTGATAGTTTAACTGCAGATGAAAATCTTTTCACAACTAGTTCTGGTGATTCTGTGTATACTGGTGGTGGAATATCACCAGCTGTTTCTGAGCTAGACAGTTTTGAAAGGCATACAATGCGCAGGAAATCAATGGCTTTAGCTCATGCTGTCTCACTGGATTTGTTTAATCGTAATACAGGTAATGTTATATGATATGTTTAATGATTATTGAATATTTTTTTATGATAATGAATATTTTAGTGTCTTGCTTTATTTAAACAGTTTTCACCTAGCCGAGGTTCAGGACTCAGGATCCTTTGGTTTCGTAAATAGCTCTTAGCTAGCTATTAGACCGCTGAGTCCAGCATCTATCTAATAGTTTATACTTGTGTGATTTGTGAAATGTAGACTTATTGGAAACTCTCAAAAGTTTTTCTTACATGATATAATAATAATTTCTATCCAGTTTATCTATCATCGAAATTAATTAATGAAAGCGTTTCTTTATTTTCATTTAGTCGAATGGACAAGTGATTATCAAGCAGAGAATAATGGTAGTAGTTGGCAAGTTGAAACGGACGATCAAACAGATGGTCAAATAGATGATGGTTAGTTGAATGAATCCATTTGGGGGTTTTCTTTTGAGGTTTCTTTTAATTTAAGGCAAATTTTATTTTTTTTTAGAAAAAAAAGTCACCTTATGTATGAAATAATAATTAACTAATTTCATTACTTAACATGATGATTGATCACTGTGTTTTTGCTTGCTCCGTCTGAAGTGATCGTGTTATTGAGTTTTCTCTTCTTTTCTTAACGGAAAAAATATTGTAAAAATTAGAGACTGGTTTTTCAAATAATTTTGATGTATAATTATTGAGTAAGTAGATTATTATACATTTATTTTTCATTTATATCCATAAGCTTCCAATTTGACATATTAACTAATGGTTAATTTCACTTACTATTCATGAATTTTTTTTTTACTCTCCACTATTGATAGTAATTTCTTTTTGTCTTCTTCATGAAAAGGAGCTAGCGAATACTGGACCAGTCGAAACTTGACTAATGATGCTTACTTATTAGTGTGGGTTGACCGTGTAATTAATGGGACACATCAGAGATACTAAGCTGAGAATGATTGGAGATATTGCTTAGTAGATCTTTTAAAGCATGACAGGATGTATTTATATTATCTGTCCTCAGTCCTTGTTCTGATTGGGAAGAGTCTACCGAAATATAGTGTCCAAGGTAAACTAGACAGCAAGGAAACATAACATTCACTAAGTGGTCGAATATACTTCAAAATGGTTTTTACACAAATGACGTTTAAACGTTATTGTACACCGAAAAGATAGACACAGTGTTGTAACGCTGCTACTTATAACTATTCAGTCTTAGCGGCGTCCAATTCAAATATCCCAATACGACCCAAAATGCTATTTCCAAATCTCCTTGATATCAGAACGCAACACCGTGGAATGGAGTTGTTTATTGGGTCGAATACAGAAGAGAGGTAGGCAGGGGAAACGGAATTATTAAGTCTTTCAGATAGTGCGTATTTATGCACTAAGGTCGAATAAGAAAAAGCACCAACGTCTGTGACATTGACAATTTAGGACGACCAATAGAAAAGAACATTTGAATGACATTGACAGTCCAGATGACCAATAAGAGGCAACATTGAAGTATTTGACCTTGACAGTTAGAACGATCATAATTTCGGCCAATAGAAATCGACCAATAGGATTGTACTTCTAAAAATAGTATTCTTAGGATATTTGGTGAATATCCTAACACACAGCAATACTAAATAGTCAATAAAATGTTTAAGTATTTAAGAAAAGTGAATCCATCTGCACCTTGTGATTGTGTAATTTAATGTCATTTTAATAAACTAATGTTTGCTCACCGGTGATTTTATTTTAAGATTTTCCTTCTCAAAACAATGTCAGAAGTTGAAGATTTTAAAAATATCTATAATGTAATACGTAGTTTTTTATGCTCGTTTTCCGCTGTTGATTATTAGAATCACATTAGTCTGCACAAAACCGTGAAGGTGTATTCATTCTTTAAAAGTCATTCGAATATCATGTCTTAAACTCCACACTGTGCAAGCATTTTGTCTCCATCCTAAGATAACCACACTGGCGATTATAGTCCCATCTAGACTACCGTGATCCGTTTTACATAGTAACATTCAATTACTTTCCACTCCATATTCATTAACTCAATGTTAGTTCAATTTAGTTCTAAGATAAGTGTTCATTTAGATGCTTAAAATAACTGAAATTTCTTAAAATCAAATCGATAATTACTATCCTGTATAATATTCAATACTATGGAAAGTAACTTAAAAACCAAATTCCAGAGTTCATTCCGCCTCCCTGTTTATTATCATAAACCATTAAGTATTAAAATGTAAGTCATACGACAAAAATTTTTTATACCATTCAGTCTGCATGTTTCTTATGTTTTGCATCTTCTCATTGATTACTTACTATCTAATAATAAAACTGATCTAGTGGTTCTACTAATTAAAGCTTTTACATGAAAACCTGGAGATTATAGGTTCCATCTTTTTATGGGGTCGTGAATGCTCACTGCTGAAGAATCTTATGCTGTAATCAAATAGTTCTTAAGCGCTTCTTTGTTTCCATGTGATTAATCACTGATAGGTACTATCTACTACTACCTATTATAACATCATATCACTTTGATCATTTTTTCTTGTGTATTTTCATCGATTTAATCCTCTCATTATGATTGTTCTATTTTAACGTATCACATTTTGAATCAGTAGATTGTTTTTGCCGATTGATTACTTTTTTTCTTTAAAAAAAAGAAGAAATTTTCATCGTACATTATTTTAACATGCATATATTTATTGTATTTTGTTTACTTACATAGTTGGTAAAAATTATCGTTTACTTCAAACACAAAATGAAGATTTAACATCTAAAGCATCACGTTTAGCATTGAAACGTATTATCAATCCAGAAAGTAACATTTCATCTACACCATCGTGTCAACATAAACAAGTTGATTCGAATATTAATGACCAAACTGCCGATTCAAATACTTGTGGAAGTCAACAACTGCAACGTTCTCCATCTCATTTAGTTAGTTCAGATCAACTTACTCCGACTAATAGTCCAAATTATTCAGGTACACATAGTCGTCGTACATCTGACGGTAGATCAAGTACATGTGGAATAGATTCTGCCGATTGGTTGAATTCATTATCACCGGATCAATTAGTCAAACGATTAAGATGCACTGATAATTTAGCTGAACAAGTTGAAATACTTGGAAGATTGCATCAATTACGTGGTTTAGACTGGAATACTGGAATAGATCCAACACAACCAGCTACTGTTCGTTCATTACTAAAAGAGGTTTGTAATTTATGGCATAAAAGCTACCTACACAAACGTATTTTATTTTATATATTCTATTTATTTACATAATATCAAAGTAAACTTAAACTCCTAACTATTTACTTGAAGACAGTAGTAATGAAGACAAAGTTTAAACAGTGTATATTCCCATCGTTCCTAACAAATAGTTTAGTTAAAATCTGCAATTGTATGAATAGCGTTAAGTGTTGATTAAGCTGTGGGTCATATCCTTTTTTTTTGTTGATTAAAATAAATCCTTCAGGAAATCTGCTACATCCTTTATCATTCGTTGTACTCAGCAACTTTCATGCATTAAAAGTATATCGTCAGTTTTTCTGTACATACTGATTCATCTAATTAACTTGTACCTTCTCTTCCTATTATGTATATACACTGGCTTTATAATGTATTCATTGAAATGGATATATTGTGTAAACATTGGGTTGGTCTATAAATTATGATATTTGTAACTAACTTCTCACTGAGTTGTATACAATCAATTTGTTCCACTTCAATGCCCTTGTCAAGTTTCCATGGAGCATTATATATGGGTCTCACAATTCAATGTTCAATTGTATACCTGACTGATATAGTAACATGTTTAAACCTGGTTCTATCTGCTTTAACAACTAAATATCACATGTCATTAACACTTATCATGTTTAGATCTTATACACTTAGATCATGAAGTTGTTTGTGTAGAATTTTGAATTAATTAGAAAATATTCATTCTCGTTGGCTACTCGTTGACACATAATTTAAACTTTCATGACTCATGATCTATCTATCGCAATGATACTGGTACATTGAGTAATTGTTTTCTTTTCAAATTAGAGTCTTTGAAATTATCTTACACCTTTTTATTTTCCAAATTTCTCTTTGCTTCTTAAATTCGTGTTGTTTATACTTTGATAATTTAAACTCACTGTGTTGATATTATTAATATGAAAACTTGAACTGATGCATATATGTGCCCAGATTCTGTGATGTTGTTTGTGAACTCTTATTATTATTTCAGGACAATTTTCTTTATTTTCTGTTGTAAATGATTTTCACTTTTTTTTTAGCAAATATGTGTAAAAATGAGCTAAACAAGCAGATTCATTTATTCATCACATAAAGATAAATCTCTCGTCTTGTTTATTTGGCGAGTACAACACATAAAAAGTTGACATATTTCTTTTTTATCATTATACGATAATATCATATGATCAGATGAGAAAAATACGTGTTAATTTTTAAAACAATCATGGATAAAAATTGTGCACTGTAATAGTCGATTAAGGTCAAAATATTATTAAGTGATTCATATTACAAGCGACTTAACTCTTACTTCTCACATCATCAGTGATCAGTCAGTCAGTCAGTCAGTTAGTTACAACGTAGAACGTCGTACCTACGCACATCAGTTCAGATTGCCCTCCAAACTATCAGTTCAAATCCTGTAGTGGCAGAGATAGTAGATGCATTAGCAGTAATGGAGAAGATTAGGGTTCGAAGATATGATTCAAGAAGTATAATTCTGTGAGATAAGTTTAGAAATAGAAAGATATAGCTGACGAGGAATTCAGAAGATTAGAATTTGAGAGAACACAAAGAGTGGATGCACTTGTGCCATTGCAAACGATATTGAACCATGTCATTCAAGGTCTCTAACCATCAGTTGCTATCATCTCGCGGCCCCAACCAGGTAGTCTGCACCTACCTACATGGCTTAGTTCACTTGCCAATTCATGTGGTATCCGTAGGGGATGTCCACTTTCTCCATTCTTGTGTAACTTTTTCATAGACATGCTTCTAGATGTAACATTATCTTCGTATGAATTTCCAGGAGATACATTGGTTGACTTAGAATATACCGATGACATAGTTCTGTTCGGTGAAGACGCTGGCGAAATGCAGTCTTCTGACTAACCTAACCAACAATGCAAGCATGTTCGGGATGCAGTTCTCACCCTCGAAATGCGAAATGTTGCTTCTGGAATTGCTTGTATCAGCACCTGAACTAGTGGTAAGGAGTGAAGCAGTTAAACGTGTTGACCGCTTCACTTATCTCAGGATTCTTATCAGTGCTGATGGCCTAGTGTGTGACGAAATCTCAGCACGGATACAAAAGAATCGATTGGTTTTTGCCAACCTGCGTCCATTATGGTGAAACTGACATATCCTTTTGCTAACCAAAAGACGAGTCTGCTGCGTAGTAGTTCGCTCCGCCCTACTATATGGATGCGAAACATGGCCAGTAAGAGTAGAACCCAATCGTAGGTTGCTGGTTTTCGATCATAGGTATATCCGAAGCATTGCTCGTTTATCCTGGGACAACCGAGTGAGCAATGCTGTTGTTAGGAAATAGGTCCTATGTAAGTACTCAAATTGCATTATTTGAGGTGGTTGGGACATGTGTTACTTGTGTCTAACTACCGACTGCCTCGTCGAGCTATGTTTCGCGATGTAGGAAAAGGTTGGACGAAAGCTAGGGGCAGCCATACCAAAACATGGCATAAATCCATGAAGTCACTGACAAGTGGACTGAGTCATGTTGGTAGATATTGACTACCAGGTTGGGGTCCGCGAGATGATAGTGATCGATGGTTAGAGATCTTGAATGACATGGCTCGAAACGGTTTGCAATGGCGCAGGTTCATTCACTGTTTCTGTTCTCTGAAATCCTAACTTTCAGAGTTCCTCATCACCTTTGTCTTTACCTTTTTAAGTTTATTTCACTAGATTCTACTTCTCGAATAATGTCTTTGAACCCAAATCTCTCCAATCACTGCTTATACTTTTACTACCTATGCTAATATGGGATTTGAATAGACAACTGCGTCTTTGTGCTTATTTAGTACTGCAACTTGAACTGTTGTACGTACGTCCATTGTTTTATGTTGTTGTTGTTGACTGACTGACTGATTGAACAGCTACAGTCGGGCTTTAGTGATCATGGAGGTAGCGGAGATGAAATTATCATTGATAATAATCTGGTAAATATGTCGAATATTATGTGGGTATTTGAATCTTCGGGTGAATAACTCCAAGGTTAGTCACAGGGTATTGGGTCAAAATGATGAATCAATTGATGAGACAATAAATTAGCTAAGAAGGTTATTACATACATGTATTAGTTATATATTCAAAATTCACTAATCCTGACGCTCAATAATGAGTGATATAGAAACTCTAGAGAAAAGATGGTTGTAGCCAGACTAAAATGTTACAACAGTCTTTGAATTCATTGACTGTTAATCCTTGTCATGTACGTAGGTGCAGAGTACCTGGTTGGTGTCATCGTGATAATCGTACTCAATGTTTGGAGATTTTATGTGACTTAGTTCAGAATCGTTTTCAGTGTTAGAGATGCATTCACTTTTCGGTTTCTTTAAGATCCTAAATTTCTTAATTGTTTAGAAAAAAATTTATTTTGTTCAACTAATCCTTTTTTCTCAAATCATTTCTCCAGGCCTAATCTTTCCCACTATCAACCATGCTCTTATTACTCATACTATTCTAGTATTTTTATTCTGATTTACTGGGACAACATAAATGGATTGACATATTTATCAGGTCGTACATTGTGCATGACTAATTGACCAATAGATTTCATTAAAAGCTAACCTTAGTTAAATAACCACTAAGATCTAGAAAGTATTAGAATGTTGTTTTGTCCCAACATAGGTCTCATCGGCAGTGTGCCATAGTGTATGATGTAAAGCATATAGTTTGGAACTTTTATTTAATCATGCTAACCTAATAGACTGTATTTTGATCATTTTATTCAAGTTATTGTCTTCTTTCTCTATTTTTCTCTTCTATATTGTCAGGTCTATGAACGAGCTACACAGACAACATCATGGTTCTTATTGCGTTATACAGCTGGTCTTTTAGGTAAACGTGCTGATGGTTTAGCTAAATCATTAGCTGATATATTAGTTTTACAAAAACAAGTAACTGTTGGTCTACCACCGGAACCACGTGAAAAAGTTATTGATGCACCTTTATCACCGGATCAGTTATACGATTTAATACAAGAGGCATGTGGTGAAGACAGTTTAATGACAATACTTACACAAGTAAGAAAAATCACTGTCATTTTCATTCATTTGTTAATTGCACCCACTTTATTGATGTTAATCAGGAGATATGGAAAATGATCACATACATTCACTTACTTTTAAAGTGGTCGTATGTAGATTTTAATTAACCGAGTTTTCATGAAGTTGTTTACCAGATACACGCAGCCTACTTCGAGACGTACTTTAAGCATTAGGTCTAGTGATACTATTCGGATACTATTCAAATCGAAGTAGATGGGGAAAGGTTTGAAACCTGTGACCATAATCAGTGGTTGAATATATTGGGTTACATGAATCAGTTACTGCACCACAAATGCATTCACTCTTGGTTTTCTGTCCATCTACTTCAGTATCACTGGCCCTCATATATAGAGTAGCTCCAAATCAAGTTCATGAATCTGTTGTACCTGGTAAATGGGTTGAATATAAGAACTTCAATCAAATAGGTATAATTGTATCAGTTTTTTCTCATCGATTTGTATTTTTGTTACCATTATGACATGAATTATGTCACTATATGTTTTTATATCTGTATTTTGAAAAAGCAGTAACTATATTATTATCATCAAGCATAACAGCCAGTTCCACATTTAGATTATATTTAGACAAGTTTCCCTTTCATAAATTTAATTCAGAAAAAGTTCGTTTATATCAGGGATCAATACTGTATTGAATGTTATTTTCTACTTGCATAGCATAGTTGCACATTTAAAGAAGATCAAGAATGACCTAGCCAAAAGGTGATATTATTCTATGCAATCATTGAATACTCTTCTAAATTGTATCAAGAGATTAATTGTAATCTATTTGTGATAATAATTGTCAATATGTGTAGATATTAAGTGATATGATTCATAATCAATTGGTCTGTCGTATATTTAGTCAGTTAGTCATAAACAATATATAGTCAAATAAACTTATCAAGATAAATATCAGAGTGGTAAAAGTGGCATTAATACAAAACATTGGGCACTGAAGGTATAATTGTAGAGGATATAATGAAAGGCATAGAATAATTTTAAAATGCAGGGCAAACAAACAGTGAATAAATCTTTGCAATTACGAATTATACTGAGCCACATCACCCAACATTTGAAATCATTTGCCTCAGTTATCGTATGAATCTCAACTAGAGATAGTTTACACTGACTTACTCAGCTGTGATCAATAGTCAATGATTTTATCGACTGATATTATACACTAAGTTGGCAGGCCGTAATTTTATTCTAACCTACTCGATATACTAACAAACATCTCTTGTCTTAGTAGGAGCTGGTCGATCATTCATATAATGTGCATGCTTCAGTCAACTGAGCCGATGAAAATTCACATTAATCAATTACTGATATTTCCTTTAATATCTTACCTCTAACCTCGGCATTAGTTAGTCACTAGCTGATTCCAGCATACACACGAGCATTGCATCAAAAGCATTTTGAATTAAAAATTAGTAATCTATAAATATTTTCTGTTTGCAAGTGCCAGGTTTTGAAATCTTCCATATCGATATTACTGCCTTGTTTTATTTATTTATTCTTCTTTACACATTATGTTCACGATTTATAATTACTGATATCGTTTAATGACTCTTTCAATTTCTACACACAATCATTTTTAATTGTGTTGATTTTTGTAACTGGTAACAACTTGTAGTACTTGATGTCACCAATACACTGTCTGTAAAACAATGAATGAATTAATTTTCTTCACTATTATTATTACATTTTGATATAATGAAATTATACAACGAGTATAGACTGACGACTATACATAAGCACTGTTTAGTGAGGAGTATTATAAATTGACAATAAATTTATCAAATATTATGTTGTTTTATACAGAAAGACATAAAAATGAAATATTTGCATTTAAATATTAAAAAAATTTACTACTATAAAGTGGAAACTGAATTAAATTTTGTATGATATTATCGCAGAATTAAACAACCAATTAGTAAGGAGAAATCAAGTGAAAAAGATCGAATGAATTTTGTATGTAATATATAATCTAGTGTCTATAACAGTCCAGTACTCTTCACATTAAGTAGTTGAAACCCCTTTCTGTTAGATTAAATACATAACAAAACACAAATCCTCATCTTGATTAAGTGTGAATGAATCATTGTAGGCAGAAAAACAACAACATCAACAATATCAACAATAGTTTTCATCATTTTGATTTCTATCATTTTAATCAGTTTGAAAATTTCAAATTCACCAACAATTCTCTATTATGTCTAAAAACTATTCATTATTGTCAACTAAGTCAATCGATCATTATCAACATAGAACTTGGTCCAGCCATACACAGGGCCATGTTTTCATATCATGTTAGCATATTTTCGATGTAATTGAACATTATGAATAGGTCAATATTTTGTGTATGTGGTAAATCGTTGTATCTTTTCTATATTACATTCTACCCTTTTTGACAATTTTACTGTCATTCCTGTCTATCTCCATACACATCACCCACACATTAAAATCACTGATTATTCTGTTTAAGTTTTTATATATATATGGTTGGTTAATTAGTGATACACTCTTCCCCAGAACATGTGGGAGTTGATGTATGTTAACAACTGATGTTACTTATTGTTCACACTATACAATGAATGCTACAATATTTTATTGATTTTATGTACACATGTTCATTATTGTGTAAACCTTGGATACTGAAAACTAAAACTTCATTGTTTCCCGATTAAAAATAAATAATAAATATTCAAATCGATGTGAATTACTCCATATATATTTTCCACATCCGATTTCATTCTCATGCTAAGTAATACTTTTCAAGTACCGATAGCCTGTATTAAGCTGTGATTTTATCATCCCGACTGTAACTGCTATCTTGACATGGTGGTTAGGTGTCCTAATCGTGATGACCGAATCTGTGTTGGACGAAACACTCGTTCCATTAAGTCCTATCCATAGTCTTAAGCAATACCGTCTTCCAACAAAAAAGGGAAGATTAGAAATGGTTGACCCTAAAAATACCACGTTTCACCTCTCCTGTCTACAGAGCCCGAAAAGTTCACAGAAAAAACAGTTTCTGACCAACGTCGAACGGTTGTCCTTTGGGTTCTGAAGTCGCGCTCTCAAATCTCCAAAACCATTACTAACCTAGTTTCTTTTTTAAGTACTTTGAGAAATATTGTTCACTCTGGGTGCACTCCTTAAATGACAGACACCTAACAGCTCTTTGATTACGATCAAATCCTTTCTTCATTTTTGATTTTTAACAATTCCTAACAAACTTTACAAGGGAACTTAAAGTGAATTGTACCTTTTTTGTTCATCTAAAGGAAATTCTGATTTATTTATCAATGTTTGCACGTACTCAACCTCAAAAAATGGAAAATATTTTACGCTTACGTATTGGGCTAATAATCCAAATGATGGCTGCTGAATTAGCTCGTGGTTTAAATTTAACTGTTGAGGATTCATTGTATGCTTTATTTTCAATGCGCCCAATCGATACAAAACGTTTGCTACATAATCTACTCAATGGTGAAGATATGCGTATTGTTAAATCAAGTAAGTAATAATTCGTTGTAGTAAATGTCCTAGTAGTATCATACTCTGCAGATAACTTTGAGTGACCAAAAAATGATCAGCTGATCATTTTGTGGTGATGAGTTATGGGAACTTGTGTCGACGTGCTCATGTCTGATTCCACGTTGATTATCACTGACTAATCCGGGATTATCTAGAGTATATATCATCGAGTACTATCACTGGCTCTCACATGAGTTGTATATTTCAAAGCCCGAATATATAAAACTGGACTTAGTTAATAAGATAATAATAAGAATCTCATTATCTTTGAGATATCTTGTTTTCTTTTTATTTTAAATTGTGATTATCATTAATGAACATGAAATTTTTTTCTAGTGAACATTATTATTAATCAATTCTTAATTTTACACATAAAAGGTCTATTAAGGTCATTGAACCAGTCTGTTTAAAGTTGATCATTTGAAATGATTATTGTAATATGTTTTAGAGGTAATATAATCTCGTATCATCATTTCATGCATGTTTGACCGTAAACAGAGTGAATAGTGTAAGTTTTGATAAATTTATTAAAATATTAATGATATCAGAATTTGACCCCCATCCCTCCCTCCCCTCTAACCCTAAACCAGTGCGATATTGATTTGTTTCAGTTTTCTGCATGGTTCATACTCAGTTTTGACGAAATATCAAATCTTTGAATTAGAAATCTATAAAAAAGAGCACTAAGGTATTGTTTAACGTACTCATAGATATCAACATGTGTTACTCATTTTCCTAATCATGAACATACTTCATGTGTAATATCATTATTAGCGAGATAAAAGTGTCTAAGCTCTCTCTCTCTTAGTTCATATTCAGGACTTCATTTTGATTGGTCATTGTTAACATATACATTCAGTTTTTGTGAATTATCTCCATTTAGCTATGATGACATTAGTTGTGGGTGGATTTTTATGATGATTAGAAGTATGTGAATCAAGAACTACGGGATAAGCACAAACGAATGTACTGTATTCAGAATTCGAAATCAAGCATTCAACCACAACAACAAGTCACTAGTTCATTCAAACACCACAATTGTGCAACATTCGAATCTAGGGACATGCTGTTTGTTTTATTCTGTCTGAACTTGTCAACTAAATGTAGTTATTACATCTGCTGAAAATCCTTTCTTTGATATCAACAATGTAAAAATGTAAACACGCATAAATAAGGCAATGCACTGTTGTTTGTTCCGGAAATTGGCATAGATTAAACAGTGTAATACGAATTTTACAATAACACTTGTTATTATTAAATTGAAATATTTATTTATTTTTCGTTGCTCTACTTAAATTAATTTGATTGAATCTGAAAAAGTTCTAATTAGTTATTTAAAGTGTTAATAATAATAATAATAAATCTGTTTTGAAATTTATTCTTTTTTTTCAGGTCAAACTTTCCATCGTAAATCTACAGTGGTAAGTTTGAATGAATCAAGATTGTGTTGTTATAAAATTAATCACATAATTCATGGTATTCAAACTTGTTTTTTTTTCGGTTATCTTTAACGATATATTCCTTGTTACCTACCTCCAACCATGTAGCCTACCAGCATACTATACTCACTGGTTAGTCCACATTACAGTTTGATGAGCGTCAAAGGACTAAACAAACATATCATTAACCATTACTTAGTGATCATTCAGTTATGGATTTTTAAGTCTTACATCAGGTCACTAATAGTTCAGTGGTAACGTTTCATCAGCCTTCTTGGTGCTAGTTTAGATCCATTAGAAAGAACCACTCTCATCAGGATTGCACGTACGCCTTACCGCTGGTAAATGTCAACCAATCTGCCAGTTGTCCCTCGTGGAGCATAGGCCACCAACCAAGATTCTCCAACTAACTGTGTCCTCAGCTAGCCTTTTCAGTTGTTCGTAAGTGCTATCATTCTCCTGATGTCTGCTTCCGATTTCCGGTGCAGTGTTTTTTAGTTAGCCTCCTTTCCTTCTACCCTGAAGGTTCCGATTTAGGGCTTGCTTTGTGATACAATATAGTGGTTTCCGCAATTATCGCCCTATCCATTTTTAACATCTTTTCCTAATTTCCTAATCAACTGGAACCTAGTTTGTTCGCTGCCAGAGTGGGTTATCGATGATGATATCTGACACAATAGATCTAGAGCATCTTGCGTTAGATGATGGTAGTTAAATTGTAGTAGTTAGCAAGGTTTCAGTTGCGTACAATAGGACAGTTTTGACGTTTGCATTGAAAAATCTCTACAACTTAATAACCAAATAAATACTTTTTGTACTCAATTACTGTGAAATGCGTTCCAATAAGTAGTCCATAAACTTCAACGCGTTTGAAAGTGTACAGCAAAGAATAACTGTATCATGAATTGATTACATTTCGTAATCTGTCAACTATTTGTATTCTAACTTAATGATCTAAAGGTAACTTACACTTCATCGTATCATCGTGTTACTATCGAATATCAATTAATGACACACACTACTTATTATGATCTACATTGAATTCTGTCGATCAATTTGTTTAAATTTACTCTACCAACTTAGTCATGATGGTTGACTGTGACATTATTTTCGTGATTTTAATATTTTATTTTACTAACATTTTCAATTATTATATAAAGGTTAATTCAGGAATAATAAAAACTGTTCAGTAAAAATAAATTGTTTTCAACGATTCCATTTATTTAAGTTGTACAATTATCATATTTATAGTTTAAAATTTTATTTGTTAAGTATTAAATAGTAGTGTCAAATAATTTTTTAAAAAAAAACAACCTATAATGGTATCTCGTCATAAATCGCTTACGAAAATCAGATCTTAGAAGAATATTTTATGATGACCAGCTAGACAAAAATATTAAGGTGAAAATAATTATCCGCTATTGGGAACAAAATAATTAAAAGTTGTAATACTTGTGAAAATAATTGGCAAGGACTGGAAAAAACGATGGATTAGGATCAATAACAAGGAAAGTTAAGACCATGAAATCATAAGGGACTCAACATACTGTTTTCATATTCAAAGGTTGGGCTTGAACTGATGGATAGCTGTATCCCCTGCTGTACATAAGTTTTCTCATTTGCTTTCCTCTCAAACTGATACCTTTGACCATATGAATGGTTTTGGAGGAAGGTGTCTAGTAAAGAAGAGTGACGAGAATCAACTAGATGCTTCAAGGTCCATCTGTAGACTGATTTCTGTAATTGTTTATAAAGCTAAGCAAGGTAATTCCAAGTGCTACGTTTCGAAAGACCTTGTTTTCTGCGGCCAATATAACCTAACACAATTGAGCAATCAAACGGATTTAGTTCAAACGGGGGAGCCTACCACTCATACAACTATGAATCAGTATCGAAAAGAAAATTTTCCTCATTGAACTATTTATTTTTATTTTCAGCGTCACAATCGATCTTTTCCATTATTCAAAGCCAAGAATGGTTAAATGTATTTTTTTTCTCAAAGCTAATATGCTGTATTTATGTTTGCATTCTCTATTCTTCCCTGATATGTTTCTTTATTTTTTGTATATTACTTATTAATATTAAGTAAATGATTTCAACTGCAAGAACTTTTAAGTATATAGTGAGTAGTAATCCTTATATGTTGTTATGTAGTAATCCATCGAATTGACGTGAAATTAAATCAATCAACTTGTTTATTACTGTCGTTGTATCCTGTTCGATAAGAATTAAAACTGTAATATTATTTTCATTCTGTTTACTCTCACATAGCAACCAATTAAATCTTTGAATACAACTCTGACAAATCAAGATAACTTACAAGCAACGTTGGATACTATTTCTGGTTCTGTAAAGAAAAGATCTACTTCAAGTCGTCCATTAATTGCATCACGTAAACAATCTATAGTTGCTAGTGTTATAATTGAGGCAGAAAACGAAACTTTTCAAACTGATTCACGAAGTCTTTGGAGTCGTCGACGTAAAATTGATGGTGCATTGAATCGTGTCCCACCTGGTTTCTATAAACGTGTTTACATTACATTAACTCATGTTCAAGGTTTAAGCATTGGTAATTTAACACTTAGTCATAATTTAACAAAAGAAGTAAGTTTTTTTCACTTGAATAATTTTTTTAAAAAACAAATACTGGCAAACCTTACTTCAATATTACTTACTTTGTTTTCAAGTGTTAAATAATTGAAGATAGTTGAACAAGAAACCCTCCTATATTTCCCTGCACTTTGTTCTGGCTGACAATGGTCCATAATTACGTGTGCCTGCAGTGTACAGGTAACTGATACTGTCTGGTGTATTCCATCTTACATCAACCAGCTTTTCAGTTTCATGCTTTCTCGTTGAGCTATTCGGGTCGTAACTGCTTTGTAGAACAGAGAT